GTCACCTGGTAGGTGCCATTAAAAATAATCCAACAATTCAGGAAAACACAGGTAATGTAGAACCTCCTTTTTAAAAAAATCCCATGTTAGACAGTGTTCAATTTTAATTTTTAGTTAGCAGTACGTCAAAGGGAAGGAAAGTACATTAGGACTATTCCTAACATGAAAGACATCCTTAGGCAATGAGAATGGAAATACAGACATTTTAACAAGCACAAGACAGTCTGTGGGGATTCAGGACAACATGAACAATCTACCTGAGTGACTGGGGAGAAGAAATACATGTTTACATCTCCAACATACAACAGTTATAAAAATCCAGCCCACTCCTGTTCCTGACAGAACTCACTGCACTCCACAGAAGGCTCTGCACAGCCCTTCCTCCTCTGGCTGTGACATCCAAGGACAGAGGTCACCCTCTGCCTCAGCCACACCACACAGAGCACAAACCCCAGCCCAAAAACAAGGGCTTCCAAAACCCTGATCCTCCACTGCCTGCAGCTGGGTTCATCAGCCAACACTCAGACTCTGAAACTTTTCCACTGGACCATCCAATGCCAGAGGGAAGCAGATTCCAGGAGCAGCTTACCCTGGACAAGGGATCCACATCAAGGTTGGCTGAACAAGACACCCAAACAGTGGCCAGGGACCACCCAAAGAAATCCCCCACACCATCTGGGAAGCACTTCACACTACTCTGCACACAGATGATTATTATCAAGCTACTCATCTATGCCTGATGCCAAGATCAGGAAATACTTCCTCTCTTGCTCCAGCCAGACCTGCAAATGCAGGGGAATCTAAAAAGAATTTTTAAAAATCATTGGGAAAAGGTGCTCTTGACATCCTGCTGCTCTTGACATCCTGGTGGGGAAGGAAGGGTGGCAGGAAAAGAAGAATCCTGAGTTCTGCTACTGTGTCCAGTTCACACTCTTTTGAGAAAAAAAAAAAAAGAAACTTCAAAGTCTACTTGGCACCTAAAATAAGATGGGAAGCAGTAAGACTAACCTGGAGGAGTTTACAGGCAGAAGCAGGGGAGAAAACAAACAGAACTCTTGGTTTTCAGAGTCCATCATTTGCTTTGGACTAAAATCTCTTCCCTGCTTCTCTGGCTGAGGCTTATCAGACAGCCAGGGACGCAGACACCCCACCCACAGCTAACTTAATTGGAATCAGACATCCAAATCCACTGGTTAGCTTTAAAAAAAATCCCAGGTTAGCCTGGTGTTATCCTGAAAGGGCATGCCCTCTATTTGCTGCTCTGGAACAGGCAGCTTCACACAGTCTGACACCAAAGGAGAGCTGCTGACACTGCCTCTTGCCCAAGAAGAAGGACCAGATGTGCACAACTGCCCATGTGCCAGCCAGACAGGAAACCCAGCTGGCCACGAGCACCGTGCAGATCCAGGGCTGGCTGGGGCACAGAGGGGCCAGGACAGTCCTGCACCAACCTCTGTGACAGGGACACCTGATAAAGACATGGCTCCTGCATCCCCAGCCCATCACCAGACAAAACACCTCTCACCAAATCAAGTCCTTCTGCTGTTTGTGACCAAAGGGCCACCAGAGCTCTGTCCCCCACCATGCAGCCTGGACCCCAAACAAACATGCAATGGGTCACACAGACAGGACACCAGGCAGTGCCAGCCCCTGCCTGTCACCCAGGGCAGCAGCAGGTACCTGCCTGCCTTTTTCACTCCAGGAAGGCTCCAGCCACAGCCAGCAGGGCACATGCACAGTGCCCATGCACCTTGCTACAGGCAGCTCCAGCCTGCTGAACTGGGAGCAAGTCCCAACCTCTGGGGTAAGTGCAGAGGAACAAGCACCTCCACCCCACTCTGGGGGAGCCTGAGCACAAAACACACCTCCCTGGGCAGCCTCACTAACTGGAAACTTCGGCTGAAGTTTTACCTGCCTCTGTTCCACACACAGCTCTGCACAACAAAGCATCCAAATTCCTGCAGCAAAGACATTTTCATGGCCAAGGAGCTACTTCATTGACCGAGGCTGCTGTCCTTTTGCTCTTCAGGTTGTTTTGGTTTTGAAATAAATCCCTTAGGCAGAGGGATGAGGGAGGAAACTGCTCACATTTGAAATTATCTAATGAAAATGTTAAATTGGATAAGCCTTCTCTAACCTAACAGAGCAGGTAACATCAGAAATGGCAGGCTATGTGTAACAGTAAGTCAATTATTGTAGTATTCAATATTCAAAAGGGGGTACAAAACTACTGGCACCCCATCACTGCTGCATTTGAAGGATTTTTTAAGTCAGCAGAGTTACAAACGATCTCCTGTTACACAGTGCCTTCCAGCATGGAAGCAAGACAGATTTTCATCAAGGAACAGCAGCCCCGAGGAAGGAGACACATTCACCAGAACCCCAAGGAGTTAAACCCCGCAGCAGATTTCCTAAAACAATAGGCTGAGTCGTGCTGGCCTTCCCAAGGAGAGCAGGATTACACATCCTGGTAATCCAGTGGAGGCAATCCGGAGCATTTCTGCAGGGTCATTCAGGAGAGCAGGGAAGAACGCTGGGCTGCTCCAACCTGCCACTGCTTGCTCAGGAGCCAATCTGCACCAGCACAGAGGTGTCAAACCGCGGAGATGTGGCTTGAAAAGCCCCAAGGAAAGGTTTCACTGCGCTGGGAGGGGAGGAACAAGTGAGTGTGGGCTGGCAAAGGCAGTGGCAAAGCTCAGCCTTAAGGACAGGCATGGAGGGATGGAGAAGGGGGAATGCACCCCCAGCCTTCCTTCACCTCAGTCCCCATCCCTGCCAGGAAAAGCACAGGAAAAAAAAAATCCCAAACAAATACCCATTTTGCTAAACATACCAGGAAGGAAGATTACTCAGGGAAAAAAAAACAAAACAAAACAAAAAACAAATTCTCCCCTTGCACCTAGAGAGACAGAGACATTTCATTAAATGCCATTAATCTCCACAGACCCAAGCATTAGCTAGTTAATTAGACTAAAGTACAGTCACATTTTAACGCTGAGCATTCGCTATTCAACTGGGATAAATGAACAACTAAAGTCCAAAACCTTAATTCAGTATCTAATTAAAAAAACAGAAAACAAAATATTCAGATTATGAAATGCTTGCCAGAATAATACACCATAATTGATGTAAAATCTGCTCTTTATTGCATCTGATTTTCTCCAGTCTCCAAATCAGGCTGTTTTCAATCTTCAGATTTTTTTCAAGTGCCCTGTAGAAATCCCAACACTTTAGAAAGGACAACTGTGTAAAAAGCACCAAGAGACACTGCTGACCTCTCCAGAGAGAGCGAGCTCCTGCTAAGAGTGGAATTTGATGTCCATTCCAGCATTTGCCCCACGCTAGAAAGATGTCTGTTACCAAAAACCAAGGAAAAAACACCCTATGTGTAGAAAAACAAAATGCCCTTTGTCAACATAACCTGATTTTGCATTCTTTAACAGAAAAATTTAACTCACTAATATCCCCCACGTAAAACATGTCCTTAATTGTTAGAGAACAAATCACATGGGACAGCTTAACAGCTCTGTTGTACCCATTACAAACTTCTCCAAATAACACTGTAGAAACAGGTAACTGGCACTAAAGACAGTTTAAAATGTAAATTAACCTTTAAAAGGTATTGGGAAGGGGGACAGGCACATCAAGCTCAAGATCAAAATTCTGGTAACTTTAAATTGTATATTACAGATGGCATCAATCCAACAACATAATCCAGAAGCCACAAGCCCCACACACTATAAACTCTTTGCTCAGTGCAGAAGCAAGCCAGGCACACTATTATTCACCAATTAGTAATTAGATATGTCCTAGGAAGAAAAGAACCTCTAAACATTTGCCTACATTAGTCTGGTTTAAAATTCTGTGAGTAGGCTGTTGGGGTTTGCTTTTTTGTTTGGTTTTGTTTTTGTTTTTTTAAGAGCTCCCCAGCACCTCTCCTGTGCTATGCCTGGAGGTTTTAAATGACACAGGGTTTTTCCTAGATGCCTACTTTGTGCAATACTTAACATCATGGTTCAACACACCCAGTTACACTGCTTGCTTTCATGAGAAGCTGTATGCAGTAACAGCCCAGGCAGTTGGTCAGGTAGTTTCCCACCACCAACTTTAAACCACTTTTCCTTATTGACTTGCATGTTTAACTTTGCAGCCTTTTTCTCCCATTTTTACCAGAAGACTGAAGTTACCCAAGATGACATGTGTATACACAAGTGCCATACATCAGTTAAATTAAGTTTTTCCAATAGACTCTCAAAAACAAATTAAAAAAAAAGTCGATTACAAAAGTTTTCTTTCAGCCTCCGGCTTCCAAAATTCACACGCTGCAAGCTTGGCTTTGAAACTGATTTGTTTTCATTAGGCACAACCTAAAGAGCAACAACCACTTGTATTGCACAGGCAGCTCCTGCAGCAGAAATGGCAGCCAGTGGCACCTGGACGGGGCACAGGGGCAGAATTGTCAGGACTGGCCACACCATTGGCAGGCCACTGCTCCGGCCAGCCTGACCAGCTGGACACTCACACCTCACTGTCCCCCTGCTGTCACAGAACAACACCCAGTGGCCCCCAGAGCTCGGAGCCTCAGCAGAAACTTGCCATGCCAGCCTTACGCACAACCCCGCGCACGTCTCTTGAGTTACACAAAAGAAAATTTGCAGACAATGAAGGCAGAGATAGATCCCCATCCATCACAACTGCAGAACTGAAAGCTCAGCTCAAAACAAGCCTGAAGCCTGCACTTAATCCAAACGCTCTCCACAAACACAGCGCGGTGCCCAGAGCAGCGGGGCTCCGGCAGCACCGGCCCCGGGAGCGCTGCCCAGCCCGAGCGAGCGCCCCTGCTCGGACACCGAGCAGCCTCCTGGGCTCGGCCACGCTCTGATCCCCCCCAGCAGCAGCTCTAAAAGCTTTCATTGCCAATTCCCCGGCTGCAACCCGAACTGCCTGGCAACAATGATTCTCTGTGTGCCTGAAATCCTATTATCGATCCTCCTACTTACCTTGGGCTGTGCTCGTCGGGGAAACGCAACTTTAGGGTCAATCTGGGGAAAAAGAAAGGGGAAATCAACAAGGTAGCTTTGGTTGTCATTTCACATTATTTTGATTTTAAATCACTGAATTATTAATCCCTCATTTCTCAGGCTTGTAATTCAGCACACCGGGTCATCCAGAGCTACTCTGGAAATGAGAGGTCACAGTCTGGGTTTGCCTGGGGAGTTTGGCAGTCTGGGGAGATGGGAAGACAGGAAGAAAACATCTCTTCTGCACTTCTCCTCCATCATCTTCTGGGCAGCAATCCCCGTGGGTGCTCAGGGAGCTCTGGATCAGTCTCTGGGTGCTGCCTCTACCACCAAAACTGCATGTTGAGGACTATCCACATGCCCTAGAGGTTGCACAGAAGGAGGGTCAGCAATCCTGACCAACACCTTAACTTGGTGCCTTTGACACCTGCCCCTTCCTGCACTTGGGTTTGAGGTTACTTCTTTTTTTCTGCTTTGTTTTGCTAACTGACAAGCAACACCACACAAAAAAGGAAAGCCAAAAGCAAAGTCAAATTATTCACATTTCAATTATTAAAACTGAAACATTTGAGGGTCTAGAGGCTCCTCCATAGTAATACGCCCAACTGATCGGATTTACTCACTCTCAAAGAAAATATGTGAGCAATGGAAAACTCCAAAGGGGAATTTCTGGGAAGGGGCAGGAAGGAAGGAGAGTAAGTTACAAACCAGTTTCATGTGTGTGAAATATACACACACTGAACTCAAAAGTAAACAACTTCCTAAAAAAGCTTTTCCATTCAGGAGTTATTGACTATCCATGTATGAAGCACGTCACCACAGACAAAAAGAAAGGGAGGAAAAAAATCCTTGCTTTACCCCCTGCCCTGCTTTAAGATGCAGCGTTGGCTCCCCTTGCGCTGCATGAATTAGCACGTCCCCTCTACACTCCAAAATGCTAATTCTGCAACCTCACACAACTTCCGCGGGGGCCATCTCTAAAAAGGGACTCCTCTCTCCCATTCAAAAATTACATGAAACCAAAAAGGCACCACCGCAGGCACAAAGAGATGGCACCCAGTGGTGTTTGGAGGGAGCACGCAGGCAGAAGGCTGGATGTAAACAAAAACATCAGACCTTTCAACAACAGCTCCCCTAAACGCAACAAAACAAACGCCTGTGTGCTGCTGGCTCTCAGCAGCACCTGCACGCAGACATCCCCTCACAAAGGGTCTGCAAAAGGATGTTCTGAAGTACTGGATCCTACCTGAACTGTGCAACCTGCAACTGCTTTCAGTGCTGTCCCTGCCTGTACAAGCGGCTGATGCCACTAACGCTGACAGGGTTAAGGACATTCAGAAGGACGGGCTTGTTTAGAGTGTGGGTCTGGTTTCTGCTGTGTTTCCCCCACCTTCAAGCAAACCCTGAAGAAGAGATGTTTCCATTTGGTATTGTTATTCCTGTGGTGATAAATATTCCTGTCACTGCTAAATAACCACGGGTCTCTCCTAAAAAGCAGTTTTACTCAATTAATTTGTCAAAATGGGAAACACCGCAGACATTTGATGTGCAACTGATAAACTGATTTGCCTCTATCAGATACAAATATTGTATCTTTTTTAGGACACACCTGAGAAATGAGCGATTACATGCCATTTTATTGTTCAAAAAGCATAAAAAGTAAAATTATTTATCTAGAGAGCTAACCTTTTCATAGAGATTAACATTATCTACAAATATATTCAGCACTGACTAGGCATTTGTCTACTGGGGAAATACAACAGGTACGGATTTTCCACAGCGATACCCAAAGGTGGAAAAATATGCACTTTTCTATGTTTGCTCCAAAACTACAAGATTTCCCACCAAAGAACACCAGGCCCACCAGAGGGACATCACTGCAAAGTCCTGCTGGTAAAAAGCTGGGAGAGCCATTAAACTCCAAAGCAACACATTCATTTTTGAAGGTCAGTTCAAAGAGCATGGAGTCCCTTGCACCACAGTGACAGATTTTCTAAAAGAACTGAATTTTCCTTCCCAAAACCTTTTGCATAAACACCATCAGCCTTTGAAAACAAACACTAGCACCGAATGTGGCAAATCCATACCTTTTGCATAACCCTGTCAACTATTGAAACAACAACCAAAAAGGAAAACAAAAACAAAAAAACCAAAGTTCTACCAAAAAAAAAAAAAAATTAGTTAGTTAGGTACAATTCTACTTACTGTATCTACAAGTCCTCTAGGAAATGACTATAATACTATTTCTGATATGAATGGCCATTACCTAAACAAAGCTTTTAACGTAACTGTAAACAAGAGCGACGTTTCCATGCCAATACCCAACCGATCTGCCTCCTGTGCTGAACGTTGAAACAGAGTCAAATGCCTTGTTATACTGCACAACAGTTACTACAATGCTCTACAAACACACGCCTGACAGCACCTGCCTGGCTCTGGGCTTCACTCTGAAGCTGCTGATTCTCAGGTCAGTTTTGTGTTTGGATTGATTCAGTCATTATCACACAACCAAAACCGAGGCAGATTTGCCCCGTGAAGCTCTTCACCCCTCCCCCGGAGAAGAGCAAATTAATACATTGCAGGGACTAGACTGTGATACAAGAAAAAAGCTGGGGGAGGACCTAATTATAGTCAGAAATATGACAGGGTGTCCTCCCATGATTTTTTTTTTTTTTAAACTCTCGTTCAAGATACTGTTTGCCTTTGTTCTTCTTATCTAAATCTATCTTTAAAAACACATAGAGAATATAGCTGTACATGAAAAGTCTGGTGAGTTTAATTTCAGGAGCACGGTTGAATCAGTTATCTTACCATATCTGATTAAACCTAAAATCAAATTATTAAGGCATGTGAAAGCATGGGCTTCGTGTTCAGGCAAGCCCAGCAGAATCTGTAGGTCGAATTAAAACACTAGATTCCACCTGCTTCTACAAGAGCTTTAGGCTTTTTGTTCCCATATAAATTACATTTTTAAAAGAACATATCCTCGTGTTTGCTCCCTGCTTCTCCCTTTCTTCATTTAACTATAACCTCGCACACACAGGCACCCGTGAGATCCTGCAGCACCGAGACAGGATTGCTCCTAACACCACGCTCAGGTTAAAATAAACCCCTTAAGCCCCAGAAGACAGCCTGTAAACCCCAGTGACAGCAGGGACCACGCTGGATCTGCCCAGCAGAATGTCTCTGCCCAGCAGAATGTCTCTGCAGACAGTTCCCTTCCCAAAACACAGCCCCCTCCAGAGCCAGCAGCACCAGAGCACTGATGACCTCTACCAGTGTCCTTCCCCCCTCCCCTCCCAGCTCTGCCCAGGCTCCAAACTACAACGAAGTAGGAGGCACAAAACTTCATCTTTTTGCTTGGCCTTGACCACAGGGAGAAAGCAGGGCCCAGAGCTGCACTTGCCCAGTACCTTTTGTTTGACCCAACACTGAAAGCACCGTGTTGGGGCAGGGGGCAAACTCAGGTGTGGAATTGTTGTTTAAAAAACCCCCAAACATGTGTAATGTTTCTTTAAAAAAAAAAAAAAATCAGCTCCATCTCACAAGGATTTTTTTCCTTATATTATGCACTGGAGACTGAGAGCAGCAAAAAGCTCTGGAGAAACAACAACACATTAGGACTTGTGCTTCTCTACCACATCCACTCTCCAGCTCTTGCAGAGCTTCCCATAAATTACCGCGTGCATTTCGCCGGGGCCCTGCCATCACAGGTGAGGGGACCTCTACAAAAAATGACTTTGGGAAATGACACGAGCAGCAGCTTTCACGGTTTGACAGTAAGTCACTCCCACCTTGAAACGCGCTCAACAATACATAAATAATCAATCAAAAGAATCACAAAGTTCCCCACAGAAAGCATGCCGCAGCCCAACACCAAAAAAAGTTGGATTTTACTCCACAGCTTTTTCAATGTCACCGCTCAATAAAATATAAGGCCGGGGGAGGAGCCAGCGGTCGGTATGGGTGAATTCCGATTTTAAAAAAATAAAAAAAAAAAAATAAAAAAAAAAAAGAAAGTTACCGCTTTTGGCAAGTTAAACGGCAGAGACTATAAAAAATATAAGGGAAAAGCCGAGCCATGCAAGGTCCCGGTTCAATGACAGCCTGGCACCGCCCGCGGCACCGGCCCGAGCGGGGCTCGGAGCGGCCGGGTGGCGGCCCCGCCGTGCGGGAAGGGCGGCGGGCAGCCCCTCGCAGCACCTACCGTCTTGGAGTCCAGCTCGTGGTGCGGCTGAGCCAGGACTTTGTCTACACTCGCCGGATCCGCGAACGTAACGAACCCGAAGCCTCTGCGAGAGACAAAGAGCGAGGGGATGGCGGGGGGGGGGGGGG